CAATGCTTTACGACGACATTCATCACCACAATATTCACTCGGAGTACCATCGGGGTCTAGATCCGGCTCAATTTCGCAACAATATGAGCACTTAACCATTTTAAAATTGTAAAAAACTTATTAATTAAATAAATAAAAAAAAAAAAGATTGTACGGATTGAATTTAATTTTCGTAGATGAATTTACATTCATTCTAATTTTAAATAAACTTTTTTCTTTATCGAAGCGACTTCTTTCTAAAATAGGATTTTAAAATAACTCATGACAAAAACGTTCTTAAACAAAATTAATTTATAGATCATATTTATTTTGTACACGCATAAATTATTATCAATGCGGATCCTACTGTTAATTTCATCCCCATTACGCGCATTATTTATATCATAAGCCGATGATAGAACACCATAACTTTGATGTAATCGAATTTATCACCTTTAAAATGCGACTATAGCTGATAAAGATTTGCGATAAAGGCTTATTTACAGTATATTTTATTAAAGTTTATACTGTTATACTATATATATATTTATTTTTACTATACTGTGTTATCACAAAATGTTTTTTACAATGAATTCATATGATTCACATTTAATTATGGCAGAAAAACGTAAATACTGATACGAATTTCTTCAAATCCTATAATATAGTTTATATATACCATATATTACCAATAAAAATTGCTAAAATGTTCAAAAAAAAAACAACTTTTTTCTGACTAAAGTAAGGGGTTGCATATATTTGGATCCAATTGTTTAATTTTCGTTTCAAAATAGGGTAAATAGGTTGTTTTTAATCGGCAATAAAGTATATGATAGAAAAAAAAAATTTAATAATTACTCTTAAAATAGATATTTTATACTTTTTATTTATCCTAAATAACGATGCTCATTATCTATCATTTTTTAAATTCTACATATGAATCATGCCAATTCTACTCGAGCAAAATATCAAGAACTAATGTAGTAAAACTTTATTGGTAGAAATGTAATACGATTTTTACTGGCTTAAGATTCGAATTTCAATATAATCATTGTAAACGCGTGAAAAATAAAAACACGTGTACACATTGAAACAGGTTATGATAGCCTTCCTCCAATTTATTCTTCCACATAAAACTTTATTTTTTTATATAATTTTCCTGTTTTTTCATTATATGCCGATGCTTTGTATTCTAATTGACCGAAAGTTAATGAAAATTTTATTGGTCGGTCAAGGCCATGTTTGGTATCAGGTATATTAATGCGTAAAGTATCTATGTACTTCATTCCTTGATCATCACAAAATTCTCCACTTTTTTTTGGGGTATAATAAATTTTA